TTTTCTATTGATGCTGTATTTTTTCCCTCAAATGAAATCCCTTCTGAGAATAACACGTTCTCCCAAAATCCCTTAAATGATGTAACAAATCATTCTTTGGAGATAGTTTGACCTACGTGTGACATCTTATCTTTTGCCATTAAATAGTTGTTTAGTTTTGACATGATAAATCACTAAAACACTAGTTTGTGCTAAACAGACTTAGTTTTGAGTTGGCATTCAGCTCCCCTAGCAAAGGTAGGGATACATTGTCTCTCTTCCTACCACTCTTTTTTTACACTATTCAAGATTATAATGATACATGTTTTTTCTTCCTTTGCTATTCCAAAGTACTAAGGTCTTGGCCATGTGTCTTTCCTCTGTATGCCTGATTTTATTGGGTAACACTGAGAGGAACATAACCTTGGATGAAACTGTTGTGAAAAAAAAACCAAAAATAACCTTCCCCAACAACCCACAAAAGAAAACCCTTATGGTTTTATTGTTCTGTCGAGGATTTATTGTCAAATTCCATTTCAGCGATTCCAGACATCATGATTAAAAAGTGGATGTGGACTCAGAAAAATGTCCCATTGTTATTTTGAGTCAATTGCTAACATAAAATTTTCTCTGATAAGAATACCAAGAGGACTCCCTGAAGGAGTGGTGCCGGGATCTGTTACAGCATTGTGGCTCGGAGAGGGACATTCCTGCACAGCAGATGAATCTAATCCTACCAGCCCAGAGAGTAAGCAGGGCTCCTTTCCTAGCAGGCTGTATTGCAACTGAGCAAAAAGGTCAATGAATAAATGAATAATCAATGCACCTTCATGGAATATTATACTAATGCTCTTTCCCAACTGACCACTGCCTCTATTGATTTTAACAAGTTCAGTGTTGTAGGGTTGGATTTGTTAACTCCAACTGCACCTATCTGCAGTGCAAATGACTCATCTAACCTCTTTGGACATCTGTTTTAGAATGAGATGGCTCAAATCCTAGATGTGCTTATTCCTCTTCATTGATTATAAGGGGAGTCCAAACAGGAAGCTCAGATATGGCGAGGGGCGTTGGACTAGGTGGTCTTTAAAGGTCCCTTCCAACCCAAACCACTCTGTGATTTTATGAGACTAATTTCTACTCTGTAGAGTTCTGCATATGACCAGGTGAATCCCATCCAGATAGATTCCTCTTTGTTTTGTGCTCTTTTATTTTGCTGTTTCCATTGAAAAACGGAGGAAAAAACTTAAGGAGGCTACATAAAAAGTAAATAAGTTTTGCATCATCAAAGGGAATGGGTATATTTTAGAGGCAAACCCACTGCAGCAGAAAGTTTGTAGTATTTTGAATGACTTCACTGATTCAATCCCATTTAAACAGGCATGGGAGTATATCATCATAGTACTTCCATTTTATTCTTTAAAGCATGAGGAAATAAAGACAAATTGCCTAAATAAACAGAGGAACTATTCACCTTACTCCAGATGAAACTCGTTTCAAAGTTCCTCACTGAGGGCAACATTCTGCTGTTGAATTTAATGGCACCACAGTTTTAACCAAAAGGTCTGTTGTATCATACATCATTAGGTTGACATAAAAGGAGGATATTTTGAGGACTGTATCCAAAACGTTGAAGTGCTATGATTATATGCTACCATGTCTGCAGGAAGGGCCACAATCCCTTCAGAGGTGTACCTGCTGTGGCACAGGCATAACCATGGCCATAGACTCATCGAGATGTACCTGCTCTGGTGTGGACTTATTCATGGCCACAGATGCTTCAGGGTGTCCTGCTCCTGCATGGACTCATCCACAGCTCACAGTCCCTTTGGCTTGATTTCACACTGGAGTTCCAGCCTGTCCAGTACAGCAGCACAAAAGCAGCGATGTCCTGGCCATCTGCTGGCCCAGGCACATCACCATTGCTGTTTATCAAAGTGTTCCCAGGCAGAGCAGAGTAAGACAAGCAGCAAAAGCAAAAAGCAGACACTAATGAGCACCTGACTCTAATACATAGCGGGGCAATCAAGCCCCCATAGCAAGCACAGAAGCCTGCCAATTAATAGCTGAACAGCAATAGCAGCTATAAATTCAACCTAGAACATTCCAATCAAGTCTTTTGTTACCTTGAACTCTTCAAGCCCCACATTGGGTCCCAAAAAATAACTGTTGTGGTTTAGCCCCAGCCAGCAACTAAGCACCATACAGCTGCTTGCTCACTTCCCCTGCAGCAGGATGGGGGAAGAGAATCAGAAAGGTAAAAGTGAGAAAGCTAGTGGATTGAGACAAAAATAGTTTAATAATTGAAATAAAATAATAGTGGATTCATTATTATTGTTAATTAATAATTAGTATTTGTAATGAAAAGGAAAATAACAAAGAGAGAGAAATAAAACCCAAGAAAAACAAGAGATGCAAATAAAAACAATTGCTTGCTACCAACCGATCGACGCCCAGCCACTTCCCAAGCAGCCAGCCCCGCTACCAACTTTCCCCCTAGTTTTATTGCTGAGCATGATGTCATATGGTATGGAATATCCATTTGGTCAGTTGGGGTCAGCTGTCCTGGCTGTGTTCCCTCCCGGATTCTTGTGTACTCTTAGTCTTTTTGCTGGCAGGGCAGCATGAGGAGCAGAAAAGACCCTGATGCTGTGTAAGCACTGCCCAGCAGCAACTGAAACATTCCTGTATTATCAACACTATTTCCAGCAGAAATCCAAAACATGCTACGAGGAAAGTTAGCTCTATCTCAGCCAAAACCAGCATACCACACTGTAGACAACCAAAATTTACATGTATGAACACCTTCTTGTTATACGTCTGTCATCCCCCTCAGCAGATACAGGAATGGATTTGTGTCCACGCCAGTGTACATGGTGCCAACCTCATGTCAATGTTCATCACAAATCCCTAGCAGTAATGCTCAAGTTTACAGCTGCCTGAAGCTAACTACTTCTGGTACCAAGCATCACTTGTTATTTCCCCTTTATTTCCATCTACTAGGCATCTACAGCTCTGAACCCTCTCTCTATGGAAGACCTTCTGGTCCTTTGTTCAAAGAGAGCATTCCTTCTCATGGGAAAGTGTAGAAGGAAAAAGAAGATGCAATTCTGTCTGCTTTTTGTCCTTCTACTCCCTGTTTTTTCTGTAGTGATAATCCAAGAGTCCAGCTGCCATCCCATGATCTGGGTGATTCAGGCTCAGCTCCCAGGATTTCAAATCATGGGTAAGATATGCACAGGAAAAAACAGTCTGAAGGGGAGGAGGAACCAGAAGCCAGTGTTTCTCCTTCCAGGGAGTACGGCTGGGTTACGGAGTCATGCTTTTTCTCTGGTCCAAAAAAGTTTGAATTCTTCTGGCACAGCTTCTGAGGTTCAGCAAAGGGAAGGGCAAGTGCCAGAACTGTCTGGTAGCTAGATGACTTTCCTGGGAGACACATGATTTTCTGAAAGCAGTTCTCGCTGCCTGGTGTAATGGTCTGAGTGATAGGGAAAGGGTGGGGGACGGGACTGAAACTTTTCCTCTGGATATGTTTTAAAAGAGAGTGGTTGAAGCAGATGAATTTTACCTGAACCCAGTCCTGTCACTATAAGGTGTGAACAAAGGTCTCTGCCCAAGGAAAGCTTTTAATGTATTTCTAAGCAACAGATGCATGGCTCTGTCAAGATGGGAGCGGTCTGGGTGTGCTTTGAGACAGTCACAGAATCAGAATCATCTAGGCTGGAAGGGACCTTTAAGATCATTGAGTCCAACCATTAACCTCACACTGCCAAAACCACCACTAAACCATATCCCTAAGCAACACGACACGGGCACTTGAAGGGTTTTGATGTAGAAGCACATAGTACATGGTTTTCTCTTCAGAGCAGCTGCCTGAATGTGTTTTTGATCCTAAAGATGAAGATGGGGGCCCAGCAGGACTGGTGAAAACACTAACCCCCAACGCACAGCAGTGAGGCCACCAGCATGCTGTGGAAAACAGATCCCCATGGGCATCGTTAGACACCATCATACCTTTAAAACCCTGCTTCTGGATGCCATTTACTTTCTGTCAGGGAGCCGCCTGCACCAGCAACTCCCAGGTGGGCTCTGCCAGGGTGTCAGGGCAGGGCCTAGCAGCCATGGCCCATCCCGTCACCCCAGCCAGGGGGGCACTGGGGCAGCCCCAGCCCTGGGGACCTCCCCGGGCATGGGGACAGGCTGAGGCCAGGCCAGGACATGGGCGGGCCTGGCTCAGTGAGGCCCATAGCCAGGCAGGGCAGGGCAGGGCTGTGGGGAGCTGGAGACCAGCTGCTGGGGCGGGGGCTGGCGGCCTCAGGGGGCTTACATGGGGTCCTGGGCCGTGGGCAGGATGAGGGGAGCCCCAGGGGACTGGGCAGGGAGAGACAGAGCTGTTAGTGCCTCAGGGGTGGCCTCAGAGGTGTGGCTGTCTTAATCTATTAATTATTTATTAATATATAATATAACATTACCTATTGCTGCTGCTGTGTTAGTAGCCGTGGCCTCTGCTGTCTTCCCGCTGCTGGGGAGCCCCCTGCTCGCCCTCGCCGCACTGGTGAAGCCTCACCCACACCACTTCTCGCCTGCCTCCACAGGGGCTTGGATTTCACCCCTGCTGCGTATTTGCAGCAACACGTGCCACTAAATCCAACTCCCGAATGCAATCTAAGCATCATTTGGGCCCGAGAGTGACGATCTCAGCTGTCAGGATGTTGATTTAAACGCCCCTGAAGGAAAGTGCGGCTTTCCTATTTGGACGGAAGTTAGTTCCCGTGCTTCTCACAAGTAACAAAACCCTGACCGTATATACCATATCCAGTGTCAAACTGACCTGCCCCAAGCAAAGCTGCCTGGGGGCATGTGATTCCCCGGACCAGTCAGCCACCGCAAGATGGTTTGCAGCTGTTGAGGGTGACTCTGCTTCGGGTGGCGTAACGCCCATGTGGATACTCTGCGTGGTGAACTCAGAATCTCAAATAACTTAAACGCTATCTTCAGACAAAATAAACTCCTCAGAAACATAAACGAAGACATTTATGGCAAATAAAAATTCACATTCACGTCATTAAGACTGACAAAGAATAAGGAGGTCGCTTTGAGAACTGTTTTGCTGCCGTTTTCATCAGAACAGCTGCCTGGGACAAGCATATATTTATCTGAATGTGCCAAGCCAAATATCCCTCTATCTACAAAGGTTTTGATTTGGCTGGTGACATCGTTTTGACACTTCCACAGTTTCATTTTCTCTTGATCTGGCAGAAGAGGCTCATAGAAAACCCCAAACCAAGAATCTGGAAAACAAAGACATTTCTGGTATTACTTGGCAGTCCTGGAAATCCCAGGATACAACCCATACACACTGGGAACATTTTGTTTGCAAATGTCTTGGATTTACATGCAGGCTAGATCTGCTATGCAGAAGATCTTTTCCAATGTAATTCTTAAAGAACATGACTCTAGAATATAGCCATTTTAATTAAATCAGTATGTACCACAGGTAAGACTGCAGACATGATGGAAAACTTTCATTTGTTTAAAAGATGGATTGCCTCTGTGGATGGGGAACCCTGTAACTCTGTGGGTTTAAAAAGCAGTTGTTAGCTGCAAAGGAGCAGGTAATACTGAGAAGTTCAAGAAATTCAGACAAAAAATTCAGTTTTATTTTCTAAGAAAGTTTCTGATTCCATTGTGTATTCTAAGGGCTGTTTCCCTTTGAAATCTCTCTTCCACTGTCATTCTCTTTTGTGCAAACAGATGTGTAAAGGCACATATGTGTATGTGTATACAGGCATATATCTACACATAACCCCCACCATTTTGAATTGCAAATGATCATGCAAAAAGTATTTTCTATTAATCAGTAATAGATTTGGGATAGAAACACCGAGTCAACTAAAGAAGCGGTTGCTTGAAATAGAAAATTCAGTAGGTGATCTTCTGTAATGGGAACTACTGGGTGAAATTCCATAGCACATGACAGACAGCTGGCGAGATCAGAAGATTGGAAAGCTTCCTTCTGGATTTAAAATTAACCAGTCTGTGAGGGTGTTTCACAAAAGTGGAAGGTATCCAAATGACATTTATGAAGCCATGAACACAAGGATGCTTCATTTACTTAAGGAAAAGACAGTGGAGAGTGTGCAGAACACAGGGGTACAGCTAAGATGAGGGGATGAACTCCCAGCTAGAATAAACTGTCGGGGCTTCCATGACATACCCATATTTTCTCTTGTGCCCAAGTGAAACCGGGCCACTCTTCTCAGTATCATTTTCACTAACAGGGTGAGCTGAAACCATTAACAGCCCACAAGTGGCATAATGGAGCAGGCAAAGGGGGGAACGTTAGGGAAGAGCACTTTGCCTTGTCCACTTCTTTTTATCTGGGGTTTTCTGGAGCAGAGAGATGGCTAAGCATGTGCCCTTTGATTTGCAATTACTTGAGATGTCATAATATGTCAGTATCTTTGGAAAGGGTAAATGTTTATTAAGTGTAAATTGCCAGCTGACAATTTGTACCAGCTGAGGCTTGTGTTGTTTGTTCATGTTGTTTTCTAATCCTTTTATGATTGGGAGAGGCAACCACCACAGAAAATGCCAACTGGAGAACAGGGAAGAATGATGGCCAGTGAACTAAAGGCTATAACTCGTAACTGCAGTAACTAGAGCAAAGTGACTTATAACTTACCTTTGGGATACAGATGCAATTTTACACTTCTATTTTATTTTTAAAGGCCTTTTAATATTAGTGTCTTTCACCTATTTCCCGCCCAAAGTCTACATATAGGTGAGAGACTTGGCCCCCCACATATAGCACCTTAAATAACATGAAGCCTGTGCCGAATGAGAAATTAGTGGCCTGTCCTCTCCCAGTGCTGCAGCTGCGTAACTCTGCCCTGCTTACTATTATTTTCCTGGAAATGTATTTTTGAGTTGGGGCCCTTGCCCACTCTTCTACCACGAGGAGCAATCCTCTGCCAATGATGTTAAGAAGTTTTCACTCCGAATAACAATCTGAACTCTGCACAGCAATCTTCGTCATTTCTGCTCTTCCCTCAAACATTCATTGGCAGGGGGCAAGGGAGGAGGGAAACCACAGAGGACTAGTGAAAAGAAAGAAAATGACCGAAGAAAGAAACATGATGAAATCCCCTGTTTCTTTGTCATTTTCTCCCAATCAAAGCCTATCATTCATCAAGTAGCTGACTGGATAACTTCATTGTTTTTCCTCTCTTTGGAAAAAATTTTGCATGTTGTTCTTCAGCATATGATGAAGCAATTAAAATAAAGAGCTCACATACTCTGCTTTTTCTTACACACAGGAATATATGGAGCAGCACGGGTGTGCACTCAGCACATTCACACACCATCTTGATGGCTAAATTATGCCTCAGAATAACAATTTTGTACCATGATTTCTCTGTGATAAGAATATGCAGTTTAGGGGGTAAGTTTTGTTATGAGATGACTTTTTCCTCAAGCAAAGAAAGGAAAGAGGAAGAAAAGACTGGCTATTCTGCCTCGTCGTCTTCCTGGGGCTGGGTACCCCCACCCCCCTCTGCCCACAGGGCTCACTATCAAGGCACAGCCTGGCTCCAGGACTGTCAAATCTTTGCAGAAAAAGTGCCATGTGATACACTTATACAGGGCAGCAGGGTGGTCCTATCCCACCTGAAGTGTGCAGCTCGGCAGCCATATACTGTTTATATGAAATAAAATAAGATTATAGCTAAGGTGAGAGGTAGTTTTCCCTTGTCTATTAGCTGAGTAAGCCAGGTGTTTTAATCCCATTGCCAGTGTATTTCTGAGCAGAACTTATTGCTTGTCGACTACTAAATATTTTAATGGTGTATACTGGTACCTCAATAATGACTAGTCCAAAGGCAATCCCGATAATTATGAGCAGATGGCCGTTAATGTATTCCATAACCACTTCTCTGCAAGGCTGAAAAATAAGACAAAATTAATTATTATAGGTAAGCAATATTATCCTAAGGTTATTAGGAATGCATCCTCTAAAATAACTTGTTTCTCTCTCTCCATATTAAAGAAAGGCTATTTGAATTTACCCTGCCTTGTTGCTAACAAACACAAAGAACACAACTATACATATCTTGTGCTCTGAGAAAGACATCTAGTCTTTGCCTTCGCAAATACAAAGATGAATTTAGTAGCTGACCATAAGCAGGTACTGTACAAGTACAAGCTGTAATGTCTGATCTTCACATGATTTTCAGTTGACAAGGAAAGAAGCAATTCTGCTTACTTTCACTCGGTAATCGTTTTCTCCTAGGAAAGAGCCAATGCAGCAATGACCAGATCTGAAGGAAAACTTCCGTTTCCCACTAATCTGATTTTTGGATTTGAAAATTCAAAGCCTAATACTAGAATCAGGCTCAACTATCAATATTTGGATATAAAACTGAGCTTAAATATTAATTTTGACAAATGTTTGGTGGTCTTAGGCTGGGGCTGGGAGGAAGAGAGTGATCATATCTGAGGTTCTCAGCAGAGCTACTCTCCTTTTTAATAAATGCATACATCTGTTCTTATAATGACTACATCTTCTCCAAGCATTGACAATACTCCTTTTTCAAACTGTAGGGAAAGCCAAGTACGGCTTAAATACATTAAAACTACAGTCCTGTTCCAACACTACAATTGCCTTCCCCCCCAAATGTAATGCAGAGTTATATTCCTTCACCATATTTCCTCCCTCACAATAAACACATGGGTCTTCTCCTCCCAGTCCTTCTAAAAAACCTCTCATTTAAGCTGACTCAGAACTGCACCGAATTTCAAATCTTTTTTCCTAGATCAGAAGAGTCCAATGTCTTTACCAGCATGTAACACCACCATGAAATCTATGTGTTCATGTGAGCGATATCTTGCACCTGCAGTAATTTCACTGATCGCTTCTCATGTGTCCTTTGAGGGTTTGCCTGAGGCCAAGAAGATGTTAAAATGTGGCCAAAACAGCCTCTTTGTATACATCTTATTTCCAGATTGGGTTCTGGCATCCTCTACTTAACCAGACTGTTCCCTTGCTTTAAAAAAGTATTTGCTTCTGTGGGACTACACAGGGAGGAAATTAGTGTTCAGGCAGAACCTGCATAAGGAGCTATGCATTTAGAAAAGCATACAACCAGATTTGGACATTTGCTAAAACCTACTTTGTGCTAGGTGCAGACTGGCAAACTTTGTACCACCAGCATTCTAAAAATGCAGCTATTTTGAGCTAGTCTTCCACATGGTTTTTTTTCGTATTTTTCTTAGTATGCATGGAGTCCAAATTTCCATATAAGGAGATAGATAACTCTTGAAATTAATTAATCGAGATCTCTGCTGCCCACCTCCAAAATTTTGAGTATGCTTTCTTGTTGCCTGTCACCAGACATTTTTTGCCTTATTATTATATTAACTGCCACAAGTTTTTCAAAAGCTGTAGTTGTAGGAAATTACACTTTGAGTATGCTGCCATGAAGCCTACAACATGTAAGGTTTTTTTACAGCAGATCCTGCAAAATTACTGTGGGCTTTTTTTACTAAAGGACTTAGGTCTTGCATTTAATGTGTTCCTTTTTCAATATCCCTTAGCCCTTTGAAAGCCCCTGAGCCAACATGTCTACCACCAGGAGGAACCTTGGTGGGAGCACAACCTTCTGAGGAAGGAAGGAGAGCCAAAGAGGAGCCGACGTGCTGCTCTGACCCAGAAGAATACCCTGACCCCAAAGACATAACAGTTTTCAACCACAGTAACCATGCAGACTACTGAGGTCCTAAGGATCCCGCACTGCACGGCCAAGATAGAGGCATCCCAGGAAGAGGAAGCAGCAGCACATTTCCTGTATCCACAGTAACTTCATAACAGATGGCACAGGGGCAATTCTGGCTAATGAAGAGAAGGCAAAACTTTGCCTTTTGGAATGAGACAGAACTGCTAACTATGCCAGTCACCAAAGACAACGTGGGGTTCAAACCTCTTTTTAGAAAGAAGAGTGGAACGTTACATTTTTCTTACCATTTTATAAATGGATCTGTCTACATTCGTGATGCAGAGGTCTGCAGGTGGATTCTCTATTTCACACGCACAGGCTTTGCTGTTACCAACAGGCTTATTAAAATTTTGTCCCCAGTCTGCAGGTCCAATCAGCACACCACAGCACTTGTGCTACAAAACAAGAGGAAACGGGGAGATGGGGAAAAAAGTGGTGATTTGCAGTTGGAGGAGAGTAGTGGAAGGAGCTGAGGGGAGCAACGAAGGAGAAATTTCCTTTCCTCTTTTCCCATGTAGAAGTTTTACCAAATTGTTATGTCTCAAATACCCTTTACATTTTCATACCAGTTATAAGAATGTAAGTGCACAAGTTTAAAAAAAAAAAAGAAAACAACCAACCAACCAACCAAAAATGAAGACCAGACTTTCAGTGTACAGTGCTCAAAAAACCATCAATGTATTATAAAGCTAGTAAGTCAGTGACAGAATGGAACCGGAACATGGAACAATGCTGGGCATAGTATTTTTTGAGAATTAAGTCTTCTTTCTGCAGGTTATACTTGCATAAGTTAACAGCTCCAGTAACATCTACATTTCACATCTTGAAAAGCCAGGCTGAAAATGTAAAATTCAGGCACATAAAACTCTGAAATCCAGAAAAATAACCACCTTGAATGATGGTTAGCTCTTTAAATTAGAAATGGACTGAGGGGGCCAGGGGTCCATTTGGGGTTTGTGAAACCTAAACCAGGTGCAGTTTCACTTCATGTTCCACTTTATTCAAGCCACTAAAGCTCAGGGGTGCAGACTTGGGTTTGAGGTCCTTCCTCTTTTAAAAAGCAGCTGGAAATGTTCATGTAATTATATATAAACACAAAGGCCGTGGGACATAATAAAGCTATCCTGGTCTATTTAAAAATTAATACAGTAATTATGGGATTTTTCATTTTGCTCACCCTTCAATCATCTCTCCAGGGAGCTGCTTATGATATCAGAAGAAATAAGCAGACTCAGAAGCAGAGGAGGTGGAATGGGGAAGCAGAAACAGAAGTAATATAAGCCACCCAAATATTGTTTCTTACTTCCTTTTCTTTCACACCAGCAGCCTTTTAAAATATAGGAATTCTTTAAGCCTACCCATCAAAGTCATCACCCACCAGGGACTTAAAAAAAAATAGCAGCACTCTGCCAATGTATAGACACAGTGGGAGGGGCAAAGGTCTATACCATCAATGGCATCAGTGACATTCAAGAGCATTCTCAGTGTGATACCCAGGAACAAGCTGGCACAAAGTGTCCACCTTCTGTGGTCCTGCAGGTGAGGGAAGCCAGGACAGGTATAAGCAAAGTGAAAACAAACCTCCCTTTTACTGTATTTTCTTCCCCCCTCTTACACTGTAAAGTGTGGCATTTGATGACTTCACAGCAATAGGGTATTCCAAATGAAATACACTCCTGAAGTTTTCCTTATCCCTGGGGTAATCTGGATAGATCTTATCTGGGATACAGTGAAGGAGCAATGTCCCTTCAGAAAGGAAAGCTGTTACAAAGGAGCAGGCACCCTCCTCATGAAAAAGCTTAGCTAATTGTCAGTCTCACTTGCGTGTTGTGTGTCCTTGCTCCGTTGCTCTTACAAACACCACTGCACAAAGAAATCACTGCAGAAAGCCTGTGTCATATCAAGAGAGCAGTGTTTTAACCTGCATTTTGGTCAGACTCTTCCCCATCCCCAGGGAATGAAATTCAAATACTATGGCAGAGTAGCCATAAAATGAAGCATAGATAAATGCTAGAGATGGAGCAGATGGCAACAATCCCTGCCCTCCATTGTATTTTAATTACCCTTTTTTCAAACTCATGGAACTTCTCTTGAAATGCTTCAGCTTCTTTTGTAGAGTTTTGCAATAAATGCACAGTCTGCAGGAGAGTCTTGTTAAGCGATGTTTCAACCTGCAAATACAAATATTTTATTAGGTTTTGGACTGGCAACAAAACTCTAGGAGGACATAAATGAAAATGCAGAATAATACTGTACCTGAGGTTTGTACATTGCTCCTAAAATACCTCCTGTGACCTGAAGTAACAGGATCAGAAGCAGCCCAATAAAAAACTGGAAGAAAACAAAAGAGGGATAAAACTACAGTACTTTTGACCAAGATCATATAATTTCTTCTAAGCAAATGCTAAGCTTTCATGTGCTTGAATAACCATATAGGTAGAATGAACTGAAGTTCCACTCAGAGCTGTTCCGGTTATTCCTTCTTTGGCGATGAGAGAAGGGGGTACTCGAGACAGAGCATGTTCAGCTGGTGGTCAAAACTAGGTGCACACCACAGTAGTGGCATGATGGGCAGTGTGTAGGTGAGGTGTTGGTCAGGAGGACAGGGAGGACTTTCTAGGAGGAAAAGCAAAGGGAACAACTGGGAATGTATGAAATTAAATGGGATAGGTATTGGGGGAGGACTGACGCAGGGAACTTGGGTGATGACTAGATGGGTGAAAAATCTAGTGACATGCTTGGGGCTCCCTGGAATTTGTCTTTTTCTTGATGAGACCACACCACCCATCATTTTTTCTGCACTTAGAATTCAGAAGGGGCTCTAGCACAAGGTAAGCAATGAAAACATATGATCATAATAAAGCATCTGGTTAAACAAAAAGGTCCCACCCTCATTTGATCCTACTTGCAAGGGCCTTATCTGCCAAATGTAGCTTTGGCCTGGTAAAGGTAGACAACTGTTTTTCCTTCCTACCAGCAGCAGCATGCACCGGCTCTCCTTTATGGCACCACAGCACCCCAGAAAACCAAGGACCATAATGATGGCACCCACGGCTATCAGCAGATCAGCCCCTAGAAACAGGCTGTGGTCTATATCAACCTCCTGAAAAGAGAGGGGAAAAAAATATTTCAGCTACAAGAAGCTTCTCCTAAAAACATCTGTATCCTCCAAAGCAAGAGAATTATTTCACAACTGATAAATATACTGATTAGCAACCATGGAGATATTCTGATCCATAAATAAACAAACCTCTAATGTTCCCTTCTTAAATGTTTTGTTGGGGAGGTCAGCAAAACCTGGCTTTTCTCAGTCTTTGTCTCTGCACAAGATGAAAGTCAAATTTGCAGAGTAAATAAAGATCTCTTGTCTTTAAAGTGGGTTTCAGTTAGTTTTCAGTCGATGAATCTTTGCTTTTTACTGGAAGTAGCAAAATTGATTATCTTGAAATCTCTCCTACATTAACCAAATGTTAAAGAAACAAAACCTCTGTTTGTCATTAGAAGGCCAAGAACATACTCTGTGGCTGCTCCTCAGAGAACACTTCTCAGACTGATGCTGGATATACTAGAGAAATAGTGAGATGTATTTTCCAAACCAATTTTCTTTTTCTTCTTTTTAGGCATGATCTCTAATATTACCCTCAGAGATGAGGACTGTATTTTGATGTGTGGGACATTCAACTAAACAATTCATATACCTCAATATTATTAAATATCAAATTATTCAGTTCCCACAGGACTGACTAAGGCCAAAGGCCAAAACAGAGAAAATGTTCAAAGAATATTTTCCAGCGTGGCTGGTGCCAAGATTAGCAAAAATGTCTGGAAGTTGTCACATTTATCTTCTGATGGAAATTGCAAAGGTATATAGACATGTATAATTTGAAGAATGTGTTGTTCTTTCCCCTTCCAAGTTGGACTGAACCTCCTGTTATTTATTCTTAGAAAGCTCTATTCATCTACAGCCAAATCCTTATGGTCTTCTCAGTTATTACTCAGGCAAAACATACATTGGTTTTGAATGGGAACTTTGCCTGCCTGGAGGAAAAAAATGTAAGAAAATGCTTTCAATTTTTGTCCCTAATTCTTAATTTACAGTTTTTGGGGAGTACTAAGCATCGCTTCGGGAAACCAGTTTGGGATACACTGAGGTATGCTTTTCTGAATAAGAAATGTCTCAAAAAGTAAGAAAGGATAATAGAGACTATGATTTTCTTAGCTCCCTTGTACCATCTGAGCCACCACACTAGAGATGGTCAACCAGTAAGTACAGCAATTTTAGCCTGTTATAAAATGTTGACTGAGGAGCGAAAATTGTCATTCTTCTTCTTTCACAGCAGAGAATGGCAGAGGTCTCCACAATGACCTAATCTGACCTAATTTACCCCATGGCACAACGTCATCATGAACTGAGTTCTGCTGTTTCCATCCTCTGCCAGACATCTGGGATTGGCTAAGAGCAACAGTGCCATCAGCCAAATGGCAAGAAATATATAAAGCTATCTTCTTATCTCCACCATCTTTTTATTTCCAGATGAGAAAATTGTGACTTAAAAATTACTGTTCTTAATTGACAGACTGCAGTAGGGCAGCAGAGAAGTGAGCAATCTGAAGATTTGCAACTTAAACTATACTAAAGGCTCAATCTGAAAGCTGAATAAAAATGCCTTTTTTTTTCACACCTAGTCTTTTTTTCATTTCTATGAAAGAAAAGAAAGCCTTTTTGGAAATAGAAACATGCAAATTAAATTTTCGAATTCGTTTACATTTCTACAGCCCAACCTCACAAGAAGAAGTATACTCCTTAAAACTTAAAAGAGTCAGATTGTTCTTCCTGTTAGTGTAGTAAAGCCATCCAAAGATTGCAGAGTGCCTTTCAGAGAAGCACCTACAAGCTGTGAGATCAGCTCCACTGAAGGATGGCGGAAAACAGGCTGCGAGTCAGAGGCCAGTGCTCTGGGACCACAAAGGCAAAAGGCTGGCAGGGCCCACAGGGCCAAAGGGCCTTTGCACTGACAGGACCAGCCTCTGCTGCACGTCTGCAGGATCAAGGGCTCCTCAAACTTGTATTTTCCCTAGCTTTGCAGAAAAGGAAATTCATAAAGTCTGAAGTAATTTAATAACCCAGATAAAATCCAGGAGACAAACTCAGGGGCTTTCTTCTCCGCCCTCCAGGAGGGCTGTTGGGACATTTTAATCCTAAGTAAAGATTTTTGGGTCTCTAAAGCTTTTTCTATATAAATATGAGGGGAAAAGGATACGGTATTTTTAAGGAGCCACTGAAAATAGAAGGTAAAAATCCTTGCTCCCTTTCAAAGTTGCAGTTACTGGGGAAATAAGAATTGCATTTTGAAGATAGTGAGAAAGGTAAAAGTATGCCCTACTAGCACATAACCTAGTAACCCTAGGAATATATGACTGTACTGTTCTAATAGGGCGAGGCATTGAAAAGTCTAGGAGCTGTATGGCTCCTTGTTATTCTCTCTGAAACTGAAATCAATAACAAAACCATCATTAGTTTTCATTAGGGAAGAGAGAGACACTTTTCCCAACAGAAATCTGTAAGAACCTACATTTATAACACTAGAAGAGATTTCTTGTAGTCATATGTCTGTGCTCACTTTATCTGACTACCTGCACCATCTTGTTTAATCTTAAACATCATAAAATGCTTGAATCTAAACCACCTCAACAAAAACATAACGAATTTGGGGAAATGCAAATGGGAACTGAAAGTGCATGCAGTAACTTCCACATTTTACATGGTTCTGGTATGACTGTATACATTTACCTCCTGAGCAGCTTCGCTGACACGTATCCATACAGAGATTCCCAAAATCAAAACACCACACACCTGCAGGAGAAAATAAAGAATATTTAGAAAGTTCAGCAATTTTAGATTAACGTTCAGCATCCAAATTGTACCAGATGCTGGCCAAAATTCTGAAATAATTTGTTTGGCAAAGTGAAAGACATGTGAATTGTCGGAGCATAGAATATTGATTCATTTCCAGGAAACTTCATAAGGGTATTTAAATCTTCAGTTATGCACCAAATCCCTGATGTTTCTACCTCAGAGGGCTCTGCCTTTCCTTGATGATTTATACATGTGGTTGGGAAGCACACAGAAATTCTGTCAGATGAGAGAGGAATATAAATCGCCATAGTATGTGTATAACATGACTGTAAAGAACGCTGCTTCTTGTATAATGGAAACATGCGAGATTTGATAAGGGATGTTGGTGTAAATGTTGGTTTTAGTATTATTCAGGAAACATATCTAGAGACATTCTCTATGGTTAAACTATCAAGAAAAGTTCTAAATAAAGTCTTTCTGCTGTTTTTATTGCAGCAATATCTGGCTATCTCCAGTCCAATAAAAATGTCTATAGTGATAGTTATTATTTCCATTACATTTTTACAGAAAAAAAAAATTAGTCATGTACATGTGAAAGTTACAGTCAGGAAAGATGAATCCCAGACACGTTCCCTCATCACTAGTTGTGCTCCTGTTTTGTTGATCCTTGAGGTACCACTCCACTATGCACCAGACACTCTATTCCAAACCTCGCTAATGATGACTCTCACACAGAGTTTCTCTCCATTAAGTGTTGGAGAGAGGTAGTTAAGAGGCTAACCAGGTGTAAGAATTGTGTCTACTGAGAGGACTGATAGGAAAGAGACATCACTGAGAACCAAAGCCTTGTCAGATTTAGAATTAGCTTTCCGTAATTCATTAATACTCAAGTCATAAATGGCCCAGCAATGTTTTATGAGCTTCCCATGAAGACTGGGACTACTCCTAACCTTTTAGAATTGAAAGAGCTATTTTTATATGTTTTAGATAATTTTTCTTAAAAAAAATGCTTTCCCCGCAAAAGGTTTCATATAATATTCAGCATCAAAGACCATAACGATTTTAGCAGATTATTTAATATGGAACAGAGCCAGCAGTCAAACATGAGTACCACACATTTTCCTGCTCTAAGTAAAGCTTCTATAAGTACATTTTAAACATGAAAAGGAAAGTTGTTCAATCGATGACAGCTACATCGTGTTATCAAATTTAACTGGAACTCCCCACTGAAATCTTCCGAATCCCACTGAATCTGTCTAGAAACTGATGGTATCGTATGACTCTATATTTGGGTCCTGTTCAGCAGCACTATGTGAGCCATGTGGCCATGCACCAGACAACATGGGCTCACTAATGTGAAAATTTCCACTGAAGCGGCTATTGCTATAAATCCAAAGAGAATTTGGCCCACTGCCTTATTTGTTATATAGGGCCTCCCATAAAATACAGCACAGTAGTAGAAGTAAATGTAGCTGAATGTACAGGAACTCACCAATCAGATGGGAATGCTGTAATATTTATTTCCTACATTCAAAAGAGAAATCTAATTTGTGAATCAAAATTTCTAGTAAGGTGTATATATTTTAATTATTAAAATAGAGTTCGTTTAGACTGATTAAAAATGCCCCACTTCAGTAAAATCTTAATGTTTCTGTGTATCTTCATCATATACAAAGTATACAAGAACTCACACAGAATGGTTTTGAAATGACAAATCAAAATGGTCCATTCCCAAAGAGTCCAAGCAGAACATTTCAAGTTTGCTGGAATACTCCATCCTGATTAAGCTTTCTTAAAATAAAGTTTTGACTAAAGAAACTTTCATTTCAGGCAACTTTCATTTTTAATGAACCAGTATTTTCCAGGGGAATAAAACTGGCTCCTTTTAAAAGGTCCTCACCTGCTTTCTCTAAACTGGATATCTATTGAAGTTTTGTCTCAACCTTTGACCAAGAATCAGTGACCTCATCATGGTCTCATAAATTGACCAGGAACAGGACTGTTGTCCCTCAAATTCAATGGGTATGTCTCTTCTCAAGCCCTTCAGTCTCGGTATGAAGAAATACAGCCTACTACCTCAGATGAGCCTGCCGTGACTCCGGATCCGCAGTATATCAAGACTCTGTACTTTTCAGACATGGGAATACTGAACTTCTGGGGGATTCCCTCCACTGGCACACACATTTTAAGCAACCAGTTTAAGGGTATCAGGAGGAGCTTTATACAAGGTTGCTCCTGTTTGGAAAAACATTTGACTGGAATATTTCTTTGAGATACACGAAATCAACAGTGTTGAGAAGGTCCTACAAGAATGTGGTCTGTGGCTTAGCACTACCTGCTAAGTTTGTGTTGCTACTTTTGGGGACCGAGAAGTTCACTTTCTTGCCTGACGTAAGGTATGGGGAAGGAGCCACTTCGGTTGTAGATGGGACTGCAAGTCTGGTATTAACAACTGATCAAAGATTGTCCCGTCACTAGTCAGGTAGCTTCAAACTATGGATCAGACATCAACATTTAGTGAAAAAAAAAAGGAATTCTACATTTTTGCATGATATGGAGGAGCTGACAGAATGAGGGCAGCAGATGTCCTGCAAATTCTGATGAAAGGAAAGAGGAAAAAGTTGAACTTTCAGGTTTAATGCACAAAACTGATTTAAGGACTATTACAAGCTCCACATCGGCACCCAGCTCCAAAGCACAGATCTTCAAATCTTCATATCTTTTTTCCACCAAACTGAGAGAATGCAAAACTCTATGGACATGCTGGAGTCCAGCAAAGGGCTGGGGATTCCCTGGGGACAAATGTCACAAAAAGGATGAGGCAAAGGGTAGCAAAGCCAGAGCTACTTAGCAGAGCTGTCTTAGACTGTTCCAGGGCTTACACACTTAGGGCTATGCCCTAAAAGCTGCTTAGAAAAAGGCAGCAGAAGGCTGGAAAGGCCATTCCCGAGTCCCCTAAAAAGGGCACTCCCAGAGATTGCAAGGCTTAGAAATTGCAAAGGGCTTAGAATGAAAGGATGCTAGGTAAATATGCAGCTGCTGCTGTTGTCTAGTTAAGGTTAAAATCACCTTCATTTCCCACTATCAGCTTACTTTTCCCCTTGCCAACTGCCTGGTGCACCAGGGAGAACAGCTGTAAAGACATCACTGTTCCCTGTACTTTAGCAATTTAATGATTTCCAGGAACTAAGAGAGGGGAACGTGAATCAAAGAGTTCAGTTTCACTGTACTCTGTCAGCACATATTCCTGTTGGCACCATGTCTATCCTTCCCTATCTCAGCAGTGTTAAGCCCCTTCCTTTAAAATAAGTAACTGTAGCTGCATTCCTGTCCTCTGTCCTGACTCTGCCAGTCACATGCACAGCAAATGCTCTTGGTATAGAGTATGGATTTTTCCTACCTTTGGCATAAAGACAGGTTAGGGAATTTTTTTCTACACCTGCTTATTTCCCAAGTTTTCAAGACACACGCGCACCCCGCCATCCCAGGATGCATCCTGTGTTCTCTCCTAGGAAACCCCTGCTGTCACCGGGGGCTTAGGCATGGGCAGTGTTCACATGTTCGCTCCAGAAGTAGTTTGGAGCTTGTTTATGTTTTATCTTACAGTAAATACAGATAAAAGTGAACAGGAAAAACTTCCTGAGGGGCAGGAATTCCAGGTTGGAGACTTACAGACTCTTTTAAGCACCATTGCAGAAAAACTTCCAACACAGATGTCAAATATCTTCAATCTGCCTTGATGGAAGTGGAGGAAGAAGAAGGGGGAGGCAGCCCAAACCATCACTATCCTGTTAGGAATTTCTTTGTGAGGTCCAAAGCAATCAAAGAGTTTTGCTAATTCGTCTCATTTTGGCAAGCCACAAATTCTCCAAGGCTACTGTTTGTGGTCCCTTTTGAATGGTATCACCTTTTCACTCATAAAAAACCCCCTTGAGGCGAAGCCCATAATGTGGCTAGTAGTTCCGCTTCTGGTTTCAGTGAACCTCTGGTGAACCTGACAAATCTCTGTCGGGAAAGCTGACATTGAGGTTGAACCATGAGAGAAAAGTTCTTTAACTCAAACCTTCCCTGAGTTTCCAGGACCTGGCATTCTTGCACATCAGATCAGATGTGATAAATAGCCAAACAGTGCTCAAACAACAACCAGAAACGTGCTTGTTGCCCTGTGCCATATCTGCCTTGATACAGATATTGGCAGTACTGCCAGCCTGTACTATTTTACAACCATTTACTGTCCACCATCAGAAACTAATTATGACATTGAATGTAAAGCAAAGAACCACAAAGAAGGATATGCAAACCATTTATCAATTAGGAGGCTAAAAATACAAGTGAATTTTCCATATCTTCTGTTGCAACTGCATTTTCAGGCTTATGCCCTTTGGGTGCAAGCAGCAGACAATAAAAGCAAGAGAACAATGCATTGTAAGTGGAGAGTCTGTTATCTTCTGACTGAAATGAGTGATGTCCCCAGACACGAGGGGCACACTAGGGGCAGGGAGACAGAATCCTGGCTGGACTACTTTTGAATGCGGAGGGAAAGCAATTTGGAAGGAAAAAGACAAAGGGAAGGGCAAAAGTTAAACATATTCTCCCCTCCCTGATTTAGATTCACACTCTGTTTCCACTTATGCTCTATTTTCTTTACAGTTTCTTCAACTACAGCATTCAGATAATGTCGAACACATTTCATGCAACACTAGTAACAATTTAAACACCAACTTACCCAAAAGAAGAAGTTGAAGATGAACATGGAGTACTTCATGCACCTGCTTACACCCGCCATTTTCAACACACCGAGGCAAAAACGAGCACTGCAGAAGAAGCTGTCCTAGGAGTCTGACCTTGACAGAACAGTTGTTCCTCTGTCTTCAGAAAAACTCTCAGACCATGTCAAATACACCGCTCTGTTCCTAAAAGCAAAAATTGTGGCCAAGGCATAAAGAGTTATTTAAATAGTTCCTATACCATAGGTAAATATTAACCAAAGCATTGGGGAAGCACACTACCGGGTGTTATCATTGAGTCTCCAGACTCATATTGCACCTTTGTGATTTGTACTGTTTTACAGTCCTATTAGTCTTGTCCTACACCTCGAAAGTAAATAGATAGTGCAGCAAAAGCCATAGTTTCAAGAGAAAGAGAAGTGAGAATAAAAATATTTTACAGGCCTGCTTTAAAAGACAGAAAGGATTGAATTTCTTAGTGCTTTTAAGTTACAGGGTTTACTCCTTCATTGCCCAAATTGTCCACATTCGCTCAGTCATGCTCACCCTCCCACTGCAAACGTTCGACTGGAATTAAGGGATGGGTCTGTGTTATCCCAGCAGAGGAGGGGTAAGGAATCTGCCACCATTTTCTACCCCTTGGTGCCTGCTTCAGATCCTTTTCCTCTTCCCTTACCAAATCTCGACCCCGGGAACCCGAGCACTGTGCTGCACAAATGGTCCTGCTGTGCAGTTTCCATAAGAATTGTGAGCCCCAGCACAGCCATCACGGTTCTGGCGTCAGACTCCAGATACCTCTCCGCAACAGGAGCCAGATTCAGCCCGGAAGACAAGGCAATAAACCTGTTTCATTAGTTTTCTTTTATGTCTTGTTTGTTTTCTATTGTGCTCCACAAACTAGGAATCCTGAGGGGAAAATAAAGGTATAATTCCTCTGTTTTTTCTATCAGCCCATTTTCTGGAGAAGCCCCGTATACCACTCCTTGGAGGGATGAGGGTCAGACACAGGTTGCCCCAGGTTGATCATAAAAAGAGAAGCTTTGTTTTGCAGGTGAGTGCAAAGGATTTAAATAAGAGAGATTAAGGATGTGCCAGACTGAACTGATTTATGAAGCCTCCTTATCCCAAGCCCATTTTTCAGATGTCACTGTCAGTTCGCATTCTTCAATTTGGCTGTCTGCTTTTGAACAGATGGGAAGTGTTAGTATATAACACACCTGTAGATGGTGACAAAAAGGTGTAACCTGGAGCCTGACTTTTATAGGATCCACACAAAAAAAAATCTACTCCATGTTGAAGCGAACTTTCTCTTGGTGGTCTCTAAACTAGCTTTTAATGAAGATGTGATGTTGTAATCTCTCCATTAACTTTCACTAACTGTATTTAAATATTTAAGTAGAGACAACCATTCCCATTTTTATGAGTGGCCCTATACCTGCCTTTGACTTTCTGGGCTCCTTTCTGGAGCAATACTCTGTTTTCTAACTCTAGGAGATCGGCGGTCTGACTAGCTTATTTCGCAATATCTACCCTGAATCTGAGAATGTTCCTAAAAATAATTGCGCTCATGAAATACAGATTTTGTAAGGATTGAGAGAAACAACTGCGTGGTATGGTTTAGATCTAAAGCACTCAACAAATAAGTAAGTTGAGAAATGTGGGTGTCTTTATGGAGGGATGCCATAGCCACAGATGAATCATGAAAAAAGTTTAAAGGGCCATATAAAATTCTATGAAAAGGGCCATGAAGGGTAATAAGAGAATCACAGATGACACAGAATTAGAGAGATAAGTCTGCAATCAGACCATGCAATTGCAGTAAACTAAGCGGAGTTCAGAAACAGCATTCTGTACCAAAAACTACACAGCTATATAACTTCACGGGCAGTAGATACTTATTAAAGAAGGCTTGAGCCGTAGCACTGCTGTCTGTGGGACGCTCAGCCAGAGATGTCTGAGGGAAACTGTGCTGGGGCAGAGATAACACAGAAACTGTGTGAGAGCATTCACACGCTGGCCCTTCCTAAAAGGCCGGTGTGCAAGGACTTTGCACACTCAAGGCTCCCTCTTCGCCTCGTTGCATTCCTTCACAGCACTCTTGGATTTTGGGCAGGTGGGGGTCTGCGCCAGCAATGCCCTGGAATGACTCCTGGACTGGTGGACTGTCCTGGGCTGTTGGAGGACCCCAGGCCTGTTGGGGATGGAGAGCTCCACAGCATCTCTGGACCCTTCCCCAGCCTCCAGCCTCGGGAGATGCAAGACCAACACAGCTGAGTTTCTAGTTCAGTCTAGGAAATTTAAACAGCTGAAGATAGATATGATTTAGATCTGAAGCCTGTTTTCATTACAATTTCATACTTGTGGCTGTGGATGTTGAAGAAATTTGCCAGAACTTCTGGGATTCTTTTTTACCTTTTTTTTTTTTCAGATATGCCTATTAAACATTAACCACATGCAAGTTCTGTTAAGATCCCAGTTCTTCCTAAACCTTGAAAAATCAACTTCCATTTCTCATGTTTACTGATCTCTTTGGAAAAAGCAAAAGTAGACTTTCCTAGAACCTGATAGAGTCTCCTTTTCTAAGATGCCAAATAGAAAATAATGTCAAAGTTACATGCATTTGCTAGAGAGTTTCCAACATGTTAAATATGGCTCCTGAATACAAACTCCACATGCAAATTTGTAATTCCTACATGTTTTATATCTATATTTAATGGTATCCAAAGTAAAAATATGTCATTTAAGATTAAGAGCAAAAAAGCAGTTTCCATTAAGTGACAGATTTTCAGGTCAAATCTTCTATGAGAGTTGACAAATTCTTATTTCCTGGCTACAGAGTGCTTTTTTATGCGTCTTGGAGAAGAGGAAAGCCACAATTATGGCACAGATTACGTTTGCAGTTGTACCTACAAGTATGAAGGTCATACAGATAATTGCAGAGGCTTATGGATGACAGCAATGGCATGAGGAATTTCACTGCTCTTTGGCTGCATGTGAAATCGCCCCCATCACCCCTCCAGTAACTGTTCAGACGGTCAGCTGTGCCCCAACCAATAACACAGCCTGTGCCACAGACGGCTCAAAAGCAGTTTAGCCAGTAAAGAAGTTGTAAAACCCCATTCACTTACAGCTCCTCCTTAGAGATGAGGAGGTTTATGAGCGCGCAGCCTGGGTGCAGCGCAGGGTGGGAGCCTCTGACGCAGCACACACAGCTCCCCACAGCAATGGGGGACCTGTGACGACACAATGACTTTGCCCGCTGTGTCACACAAGGAACCGGAGAGGGAGAGGCGTATTTTGGCAGGAAAAAAATGCCACTCCACCTGTAATGAACCTGGAGTAAAGCATTTCCCCTTTGACAGTTCCCAAGCAGCTGCAGTTGGCTTTATAACACTTTTATCTTCCTTTTCCTCTGAGCATTTCCTCACTTTAAGTGTTTTTCCTCTTTTCTTACAACCTCTGTTTCCCCTTGTGAGGTGGCTCCCCATGGTCAGATGGTGGCCAAGGCCTCCTATCAGATGATTCACTGCATACCCAGTCACAAGTTCCACTTTGGACTTGAAAAACTGGTTTGTCGTGGGTAGCAATGGGCCCTTTGAACAGAGGGATGCGGACAGCAAATAATAGAAGTTTGTGTGCCATTGGAATTTCTGCTCAGTGCAGTGATAAACACACAGCAGAGAAGTTGGGTAAGATCTGTATTCAGTGTGGTGCTTGCAACCTCCCAGAGATCAGCAGATCACTGGATCTAATGAATTTATAGGCACAGCCTGTATAAACTGTGCAGAGATAGATCTCAGGCTGTCACAGCATTCATCCTTCAGCCAAAGGGACACTTCACCTCTTGCAACCTCAGTGCTTGCCTTGAGGTCTCTACTCAATACAAGTTTCTGAGTTTCCCGATTAAACTCCTGCCTAAACAGTACTGCAAAGTACAACAGCTTTTTCATGCTCCCACAGTAAGTTGCTCACCCGCGATGCCATCAGCCTCAAGAGCATTTTGGCACTCATCTTACAGAGGAACGCTGTCTAAAGAAGACATGTTTGCAGTCCAAACACCTTCAAGCCAGTGGGAAATGGGAGCATCTAGTTTTGTCCTTGAAGGTATTTGCAGGTCTGGGTCTGAGGGAGATTGCAGTCAGTCCACTACACCTCATGGCTTGGGTTCAACCTTAGCAAATGGACCTTACTGTAATACCATAATAGCCAGTAGTATTTCAGTTGTAATGCTGAAGTATACTCCCATTTCTGACTCTTAGAAAATGCTACAGTGTCCTAAGAGGTCTTATTTATGGAAATTTATTTTGCGTTGCAATGTATGTGGCACTGACACGGCTGCCCAGTTTATACTCAGCTCCCAGGGCCAAACAATGACAAGATTCTTGGCCCTCATTTTGAAATGTCTTCTCACCTAGGCCTTGAGATGAAGAGCATGACTAGAAAGCAAGACAAAAATATACCAGAAAGCTCTTACGACTGAAGTAGAAGAAGGAATACAGAAGTATTGTATTTAATCACATGACTCTCTGCCGTGGTTTAGCCTCAGATGGCGACCAAGGACCACGCAGCCGCCCTCCCGCCCCCCAACACAGACGTGGGGAGACAATTGGAAGAAAAAGGCAAAACCCATGGGCTGGGACAAAGACAGGTTAACGGAACAGCCAAGGCAACAGGAAAGCACCAACGGTAACACAGATAGAGGATAGTTGCTGAATGCCTTCTTTTCTTCAGTCTTCACTGTTAGGACTGCCCCTCATGAATCTGTGGCCTTAGAGGCAAGGGGGATGGTATGGAGAGAGGAAATTTTTCCTCTAGTAGAGGAGGGCCAGGTTCGGGACCACTTGGCCAAACTGGACATTCATAAGTCCATGGGGCCTGATGGGTTGCACCCACGAGTGCTGAGGGAGCTGGCAGACGTTATCGCTGGACCACTCTCGATCATCTTTGAGAAGTCGTGGAGAACAGGAGAGGTGCCTGAGGACTGGAGGAAGGCCAACATCACTCCAGTCTTCAAAAAGGGCAAGAAGGAGGACCCTGGGAACTACAGACCAGTTAGTCTCACCTCTGTCCCTGGGAAGGTGATGGAGAGACTCATACTAGATGTCATCTCCAAACAAGTTGAAGAGTGGGGGGTTATTGGAAGTGGGCAACACGGGTTTACCAAGGGTAAATCATGTATGACCAAT